AGAAAATCCATTTTATATTTCGGGTTCTAATACCCACCTGCAGTCTCCTTAGGGAATAGTGAAGCTATATGTAAAAACAGCTGGTGGTTATATAGAGATGCTAATGTCATCTCTAGAATGTGTAATTAAATGTGTGTGTTGACTAAAGCTTGTTAATTAATTTGCATGAATTAAGAAAAGATATAGTGGGTTCACAGAGTCTTTTTAAAATTTTTTTTCTAATGAACCTAGTTTTATAACTTTCAAGGTCATTTGGGCAGGTCCCTTTCTGTGTTGCCCTTCTCATTGAAAAGATACTGTTGTCTAAGCCAGAACAGAGGTCCCTATGAGGACATCTGGAGACAGCACTTGTGGGAGACATCTTTGTTCATTCTCTCATTTTAATCACGTGTCAGATGTCAGAACATTGTTCTGAAACAGGCATTCAATAAGGACAGAAAATTTAAGGAAGCAGTGAAACAGTAAGGGTAAAGTAAAGCTTCCAGATGCTTCCCTAGAATTATGTACAGCAAACCAAGTTCAAAGCATGAAAGAAGGAGTGATAATTTCTCTTTGGGTTAAGGGATGCTCTGGAAAGGTTCTAAGAAGTGACCTGCCTTTGGGCAAAGATGATGGAGGTGTTTTCTGTTTAATTGTTGGGTGGGAAGGAAGCAGGGGAGTCCTATGGATCAAGCTCCAAAAGCTTGAAATAATCCTACCTCCTGGGAACTGGGTCCAGCTGGTTTGGGCTGGATGCACACACCAGGGAAGAATCTCTTTTTAAATAAAGCCTTATTGTTAAAGAAAGGTCATCTCCTTATGGACTTTTGCCTACATTTCATTGGCCAGAACATGATCACATGGGAAGCTGTACATATTTAACTGGGCCTATCATGGTACCAAACAAAATCCAAATTTGCTATTGAAGGGAAGAGTGGATATTGGGCAATCAACTAGTCATACTGATTGTGATGAGTTTGTTATTTTATTATTATTATGATCTTGGAGCATTTACTTCTTCAGCCTTCAGTTTCCTCATCTCTAAAATGGGGTGAGTAGGGGACTACCTAAAATGATTATCTTGGGAACAAAAAATAATGGATATAAGGACCTGGGACATAGCAGTTATGCAATAAATAATGTGTGGGGGGAGGTTCTTGCTCCTACCCCTTTAGTTCCTCTCCTTCACTCCCTTTTTCTCCTTCTTCAAATATCTGCCTTACTTTCCCTCCTCTAAGTTTTAGGGTATATGGAAACATCTGGGAAGTGTGGAGACTATATTTTACAGTTTCTAATTAAAATTCTTCATCCTGCCAGATAGTTCATATTATATTTGCTCTTCAATTAGGTGATATCTTTTTTGAAAACATCATGTAGTGGTTATAATGATTTGTCTTTAGCCATTAATGTAAATAAGGATGTAATTAATGCTTGAATTAAATGTCATCAAAGATACATACTGAGATTCTTGAGAATGTGTCTGGAGAAGTCTGTAGAATTAGGTCATTTGAATTCTTGATGAAAGGGGGATAGAATTTATTAAGTAAGTGATTTACATAAGGTTGAGCTCTAGGTTATTTATCCACTCTATTTAATATTTTCAAAGTCTTCCTGAGGTATTATTATTTGTTTGTTCTTCCTCTCTGTTATGTTTGTGTTCCTAAAATTCATATGTTGAAATCTAATCTCCAATGTGATTGTGTTAGGAGGTGGACATTTGGAAAATGATGAGGTTATGAGGGAGAAGCCCTAATGAATGGAGTTAGTGTCCTCATTAAAAGAGACCTTAGAGAGCTCCCTTGCTCATTCCACCATGTGAGGACATAGCAAGAAAAATGTCATCCCCAAAATAGGTCATCTTCTCACCAGGCACTAAATCTGGCAATTTGATCTTGGACTCCCAAGCCTCCAGAACTGTGAGAAATAAATTTCTATTGTTTGTAAACCACCCAGTTAGATGAATAAATTGAGCATATTTATTCAAATTGCATTTGCTTGCTTGTAACTGAAATAATAGTGGTTAAAATGAGGTGGAAGTTTGACTTTTCTCTCATGTAAAAGATGTCCAGTTTTAATGAAGATGTAGATTTTTTAGAGGTTAGCCAGACTGGCTCTTGGTTAAGGGACAGTCAAGTTGTAACCCAGCTATCCTACGACCAGAAGTTGGAGTTCTGACCACAGTGCAAGCTGCATCCTGTAAGTAGATATATAAGAAGATTCAAATGTTTAGGTATTAGGAAGCCCCCTAAATTAAAATACATTTAATTTATAATGTATTGTGAAGAAGTGCCTGGATTGGACTTGTTTATTAAATGTCACACTATCTTAAAAAAAAATTAAAAGGATGTTCAGTGTTCAAGAGTTAAACTTAGAACAGCAACTCCACAAGTCAATGGACTCAGGCTCCTCTAGTCTTTGTGCTCTTCCATGGGGCTTCCTCTGAGGTGCTGAACCATGATCCAAGATGGCTGCTGTGCCCAAGACTAGATTGCCAGATGGTAGTTTGTGCCCATTTTTAACTTCACTAGATAATATCAAATTGTTCTGGAAGTCACAATCTTTTCAATAAAATAAGGAACATTTAAAAATAGTGACTATGAACTAGGCCATAAAGCAAACCTCACACATAAAGAGTCATTATCATACACTCCACTTTCTCTAACTAGAATGCATTAAAATTAGAAGTTAATTTACACTTGGAAAGTTTGCGACAGTTTTTTATAAATAATGGATGAATCAAAGAACTCAGCCATATTTAAAATGGAGTAAAAATGACTTAAATGAATATCTGTGGTATCCCGCTAAAGTTGCACTTAATGGAAAAGTTATAACCATAAAAATATATGTGAGAAATGCTTGACTGAAGAATAGAGAGGGGAACCTGGCTGGACCAGTCAGAAGAGGGTGTGACTCTTGATCTCAGGGTCATGGGTTTGAGCCCCCTGGTGGGTGTAGAGATTACTTTAGAAATAAACAAACTTTAAAAAAATAGAGAAAAAAACATGGACGTAAACCTAAAAAACTTGAAGAAAAGAAATAATACCTACAGAAGCTAAAAAACTAGAAAAAATAAGAGCAAAGACAAACAAGAAAACCAAGAGTTTGTTTTTGAAAAGAGTAATAAAGTAGGATAACTGCTGCCAGGATGAGAAGAAAAATGAGACAAGATGCAAATATATGATATGAACTATAAAGGGGGCTATAACTATAAATTTATCACAGCTTTTAAAAGCCGCAAGTATGCTATAAATAATGTATATATCTATAAAACTTAAGTAAATTGAATAATTTTCCAAATATGTAAATGTGAACCGTATGTAAGGCATGGTCCTACATTTTATTAACTATATATTTATATGTAAATATTATCAAAGAAAAAATGTTAAATATTTTGTAAGTGGTTGACTATGGGATACAAATTTAGGAACTTTTATTTTTATCCATCCAAGTTTTCTGATTCTCAACAGTAAATATAGATTTTAAAGCCCACTAAGGGCTGGTTGAGGAGGGATGGAGAAAGCCCGCGGAGTTCACAGGATGCTCGGAGTTCACATTCTCACGTCCCATCATGCACCTCTTGCTCTGACAGGGAGGTCCAGGCCGCTGTGCTGTGTGACATTCCCAAACCCATTCTTTACCCTTCCTTCTTCAGTGAGCTGTTTCTCCAACCTACAGGTTTTCTTACCCTAGGACAGAGACCCTTGCTTCTATACAGCTTTATCCCATTCCCCTGGACCATCTCCAGTTGCCCAAAGTCCAGGCTTTTTTGGGGAGAGAAGGGCTGAGCACAGGGGGCACAGATAGTGTTGGGCCTGGTCAAAGGACACAGGATGAGTCGCACAGACATGGATTCATACTCCTTGCCTGCCTCTTTCTGCTTTCTGAAGTTGGTCCTGTCCCTTAGCTTCCCTCCTCTTCAGTTTGTTGGTGATAATGGCCATGTTCTAAAATGAGGTAAAGAGCCTAAAGCAACCACCGTAAAATGGGTGCTCAGTAAGTGTGAGTTCTCACCTCTGCTGTTAGTTACTTGTCTGTAGTTATAACTAATTTTCTAGTAAGTCTGGAGTGTTGGAAAAAGATGATTCACCCGTGTGCTGCTGTTGCTTAGCGTGTGGGGCTCAGCATTCCTAAACTGGAGCATGGTTGGGGCAAAGAGTTGGAGAGGCAGTGCATATTCCCAATTAATCAGGTTACCCCAGCTAAATGCTGTATTTCCGCTACCAGGAGAAACAGTAGCCAGAACTTTCCCACATACTATAAACACTTCACTAAGGGAAAGAGGGCATGAATTTTCAGCTGATTGCCCCAGAAGAATGTCAGTGTCCACGGAAGAGAACTGCTTTTCCTTTAAGGAACCACACAGAGGATAGCAGAAAGTGAGGCTGCCCCCTGCTGGACATAGTAGGGGAAGGCAGAGGGTGAGAAAAGTCATGGAACGAGAATTTGAGAACTTTCTCCTGATGTGCTGGAGGAAGAGATGGCAGGATGAAGGTCTGGACCGGCATGGGGGTGGACATGGCATCACATCAGGTAGGTGGGAATTGAGAATTCAGTCAGAACAGGAATTCAGAGTCACGGGAGGCTTTAACTCTCCCTCTGATCCCATGCTAGTCATTCTTAAAAATTTGGGACACGTGCTAGATCTTCTGCTATTTGTGATGAATGCCTGAACCATTTGGGAAAAGAGGATTCCAGAAAGCCGGAGGAACTGGCGGATGTCCAGGTTGGCTGTGAAAAGTTAAGTAACATTGTCTCCATGTGCTGGGAGTCTAAAGAAGTAAGTTCTGCAGGTTTGTCCTGGAGTGTTTCAACATTTCCCCTGAGAGCAGAAACTTGAGCTGAACTTTGCCACATTGTGCAGGACTTGGGTAAGAATCTGGCATATCTTTAAGGGTATGATTGGGTCTTATGATGAATCAGACCCTAAGAATCAACCTTAGTTTCTCATTGGTCTAAAAATGCCTGTTTGTATGAAGGATTTCTTTGGGTACTGCTAACCATATCCTTCTCTGCAAATTTAGACATTCCTCTTCTAAGAGGCTGCTGCTCCTCCCACCTCTCTGGCTGCCTCTGCTGCTCCTTCTTCCCTTGACCCTCTCCTGGCAGTTTGAAGGTAGGCCCACTACCCCTCCTGGGAGCCTTCCCTCACCTGGCTACTCGCTCAGTTCATACTCACCACATCCATTCCCAAGGTTGTGCCTCTTCCATAAGGTGAGGGACTGTCAAGATGAAGACCATAGCAGCTGGGGTTTGGATGCTCACTTCCCAGTGAATGTCCTGAGAGCCCTCAACTCACAGTATCCCAGATAATGAGATACTCTCCTTCCCTCTCATCTATTTAGACTACTGATGGTCTGATGGCATGACAATGTTCCCAGTCACTAGGACTAGATCCTTCATGGTGACAGGTAACTCCTGTCCTGCCTCATCACCTGCATCCAGCCACCCTCTCATCTCCCACACTGTACTGCAGACAGTGTGGGCTCTTGGGGGGGACTTTAGTTGACCCCTCTGTGTCTTTCTTAGGTATCAACCATTCCCATCCCTCCACAAACTCTTATCTTTGTCCAAACCTTAGGGTGAGATGTAATGTTTGTCCCTATGATGCTTTACCTAATTCCCAAGCCCAGCATATTGCCCCTCTCCTAAGGACCCTCTACACAGTTTACCCACATATTCTCATGTTGCAAAGGATGCTTTCTTTGTATCCTCCATCTACACTGTGAGCTCAGTGTCAGCAGGATATTTATCTGATTCTTGCCCTTTACTCCCTCAGGGTCTGGTATATAATTGGGGCCAATAAGTAGGTTTTGTGGCCATCAAGACCCTTTGTTTATCCTTGCCTATATTCCCAGCTTGTGGATAACTTTCTTGAGGACTGGACTAAGCATGATTCAGCTCTGTGTGGCAGCAGCTGAGCATTGTGCTGGCTTGACCTAAGTATAAGTGTTGAAGTGAATGGTTGAAGGTAACCCCATTAATCACTTAGTGTTTACTGTACCTCAAAGAACTGTAACATTAAAAGATTTGGATAAAGCAGGGGAGCCTTTATCCAAATGATAAAGAGGGGCTAGAGTTGGAGATGGGACTCTAGGAGAATGTAGTATGACAGGAGAGGAAGACTTTAGATAAAGAGAGGAATCAAAGAAGAAGACAACTGGTTTGACAGCATGGAGGTCTTTTTTTTTTTAAGATTCTATTTATTTATTTGACAGACAGAGATCACAGGTAGGCAGAGAGGCAGCCAGAGAGAGAGGAAGGGAAGCAGGCTCCCCGCTAGCAGAGAGCCCGATGCAGGGCTCGATTCCAGGACCCCGGGATCATGACCTGAGCTGAAGGCAGAGGCTTTAACCCACTGAGCCACCCAGGCGCCCCAGCATGGAGGTCTTTGGGAGGCTATGGAGAATGATTTTTCTTTGGGTGGAAGGAACACAAGCCATTTTGGAGTACACAGAGGAGGAAATGTAGAAATGGAGAAAAATAGTATCAATAATTTTTCAAGTACTCTGCCTATAGAGAGGAGGAGTTATAGAGAGGGGAAAAGATATAAAAGTGGGATCGAGAGGGACTTTTCTTTTACAATGGGATACACCAAACTGTATATGAAAGCTGAAGGAGTGGATAAAGAACTAAGAAAACTTAACTACATAAAAAAATATTTTTGCATGATACAAGCAGGTAAAACTCCTGGAAAGAACATTTGCAACACACCTAATAGGTGTAATGCATGGTTTGGACTATACAAACTGAGATGCAAAAAAATGTTATTTTATTTTCTTAACCGCATTCAACTTGCTCCTCAGCCCTCATTTCTGTTTGCAGAAGACAGCCCCATCAAAAAACACAACAATTAGAATATCCTCTCAGTGTAACTTAGTTGTTTTTAATGTATTCATCCCTAAAGCCCAGATCATCTTTTCTATCTTCAAAGAACCCATCCCTTCTTGGTGCTTCCCTCGACTCTTGTACATACTTCTCTTCATCACCATCACACGGTAATTACATACAGCACAACTGTGTGTCCAACTTGACCTTGGATTTGTTGAGAGCAAGGACATTCTCAGGGTCTAATATATGCATGTTACTTGTGTATATTTGTTGACTCTTGTCAGTTAATAGTCATTTAGTCCCCTATGAGCTACAGTGTTTGTAGTATTAGGTGGGACTATTTCTGCATTTGCCACATTCCTAAAAAGCATGTTGCAGTAATTAAACTGTTTATTCTTGCTTGGGAGTTTTTTCAAGTCTCAAATTTCTCTTTGATTCCTCCTCCATCCACTCCTCCTCTTTCTCCTCTTTCTTTTTAACTGAAATAAGCTGAAATAAACAGAAAGATGCACAAAATTTATGTGTGTACTCACTGAATTTTTTTTTTTTGAGGGGGAAGGGGCAGAGAGAGAGGTGGGAAAGAGAATCTTAAGCAAGCTCCACACCCAGCACAGAGTCAGAGGTGGGACTCGATCTCACTACTTGAGATTATGACCTGAGCCAAAACCAAGAGTCAGATGCTGAACCAATTGAGCCACCCAGGTGCCCCAAAGTGAAATTTGACATGTATGTGCACCTAAACAATCCCTCTCAGACCCAGATCCAGAACATTTTCTGGCTTCCTTGATGCCCCTTCCTAGCTTCTCCAAACATAGCTATGCTCTGATTTCTAACACCATAGAATAGCTTTGTCTGTTTTTGAAACCTCATGTAGATTGAATCATACACCTTGCATTCCTTTGTGTCCAGCTTTTTTTGTTCAACATGATGTTTGTGAGATGCAAACATATTGATCATTCTTTTTCATGGCTATGATGTAATTTTGTCTGAATGGTGATTATGGTTTTAGTACCAAACTAGTATTTTTATTATTATTACTTTAGAGAAAAGGCCTTTCCTAAACCTAGACTAATATTTTGCTATAGATATGTTTGGTTTTATAATATTTTTCCTACCCTAAATGGGTCATTAAAACATAAATGAAAAATTATTCATTTTCAGAAAACATGATTAACAAGTATGCAAATAAAAATAAACCCTTAATTTAGTTCCTTTCCACAGAGTTGGGCAAGACATTGATCTTCCAGATTCAGGGTATAAGGCAAGGCTGAATGTTAATTTTGGACTATGGAAATAGCAGAAGTAGGCTTCTTGAGTAGGAAGCTCCCCGCCTGATGTTTTGTTTTATGTCTCCCCATCACTACTTGCTACAACGATTTCTAGTGAGATGAGTCAGAAAACGACTAAGGAGGGTCCCAGACTCTCCAAGAACCAGAAGTTTACAGAGCACTTCAGCATACGTTGCTGCCCACCATTCACCTTCCTCAACTCCAAACGTGAGATCGTGGATCGGAAATACAGCATCTGTAAAAGTGGCTGCTTCTACCAGAAGAAAGAAGAGGACTGGATCTGCTGTGCCTGCCAGAAGACCAGGTAAGTGGTCTGCACCGCCCACTCAGCACCTGGCTGGGTACTGGCCTGTGGTCTCTCAGCAACACGCCCCCATCCTGTTACGTTCGTTCGGTGATTTCTGGGCTGCTCTTTCCCTAATGCCCTGCAGTCCGCTCCCTGTTAGGTTCTGCCACTGGAAGGTACTGAAGGGCCATCGAAAGGCGGGAGGGGGAGCAGGGCCTGCCTCCCTGTTTCCAGCTCCTGTCAGTATCCCTTAAGCAGCAGAATAGAGCCATGGCGCCAGCCTCCAGCTTCTTTTGGCCCCCTCAGCACCAGACGCCGTGCAACGTCCCCTCAGAGGCCCAAGCTCCAGCCAGCTGCACCCCCCGCGGTGGTCAGAGCACCAGCCAAGCCACGGTCCCCTCCGAGGTCTGAGCGTCAACCACGCCCCCGCCCAGAGGTCCGACCACCACCAGCCAAGCAGCGCCCCCCTCAGAAGTCCAAGCAGCCGCCGCGCAGCAGCCCCCAGAGAGGGCCAGGCACCAGCCGTGGGGGGTCCCCCATCAAAGCTTCTAGGTTCTGGTAACACCATCTCTTCCCTTTTGTTCCCCCAGCCCTAAGGTTAGTAGTTGCCTCCTGTGTTTACTAACATTTGGGTTACCTCAGTGGCCCTCTCTTGACCTTACCAAACCTGTGTCAATTCCCTGCATTAAATCCCCTTATTGGAAATACCTAGTGTGGCTTGTTTTCCTCATAGAGCTGCCGGTACAGTACTTCAGATGGCAGTATCCATTGTTTCTTTTGTCTAGGAGGGCTGCAATTAATTAATATATCAACTCAGAGTATCTGCCCCAGTAACAGATTGTGAGACTGAGGCCATCCATTGCTGTGCTTCAGAGAGGAGGAAGGGTGACTCTAGGGATATCTGTGCATGTGTAAAAATGCATGTGTAAAAACAGAGAGATTTAGCCAGTTCATTTATCCATCCTCCTGACACACTTCATCTGATGTTAATCTCAGTGGCAAGATCATTCATTCATTTATTGAGTCATTCAACAAACTTGATTGCATACCAGAGTTCCATATCTCATGCAGGGGATGGGAATACAGCAGTGAACAAGCTAGGTTGTGACTCACCAGGGTGAAACAAGAGAATAGTTGTTTGAAGTGTAGGGCAATATTGCCTTAATATTGTCATAATCAGTAAGTACACTGGGCTGTAGGAGCATGGAGCAGGCTGCTCATCTGGAGCCTCACAGAGGAGGTTAGGCTAGGGTAAGCAGAGAAAAAAAAGGAGGCTGTGCAGAGGGAAAAAGTGAGCCAGAGACATGTTTATCTGTCCCATCCGAGACAGGTCAGGTTCTTCCTCCTCCTTTTCCCCCCTCCTTCTCCTCCTCCTTCTTCTCCTTTTCCTTCTCCTCTTCCTCCTCCTCCTCTTTCTTTTTTCCTTCTCCTCCTCCTCCTCCTCTTTCTTTTTTCCTTCTCCTCCTCCTCCACTTCCTCCTCCTCCTCTACCTCTTTCTCCTCCTTCTCTTCTTCTTTTTTTAAAATATATTTCAAGTTTAGATCAGTTTTAGGTTCACAGCAAAGTTGAGTGGAGGGTACAGAGATTTTCCATATACTCCCTGCCCAAGCACATGGCAGGCCAATCTTTTAGTCCTTTTTAATATTTGGAAATGAAACCGTTTTTTCGGGTTAATAGTGGGTGCTCATTGTATTTGAGATTCTCATACTTATTCTGCATAGCATGTTACTAGGTGTGCATGTCATGCACTGTTTACCAGTTTAGGATGCAGAAGAATCAACTCAGGATCATGTTAGCAATACCCTCAGAGGATCTAATTCCTTGGGTCACGGATGAGGTCTGGAGATATTTATTTCCAAAAAGCACCACCTCCATCCCAGCATAGTGACACATGTGGTACACAGACCACCCTTTGAGAAGCACTGATGCTTCCATCCATAATAAATGATCCACATTATCTGTAATGTGCAATAAAGATATGTGGAAGGGGCCATGTGTATGACACCAAAAGTGAAAGAATTAAAAAAATGCAAGATCAGGTGAGGTTAATTTGTGAAGGAGGTAAGAGGCTGCCGTCTTTAACCCTGGAATAGGAAGTTGTATGCCGGGCGGGTTACCTAGTCATTAATCAAGATGTCCCAGGGAGCCTGAGTCCAAAGGTGATGGCCAGGTAAGTTAAGATATGTGGGACTGGTTAGGAAGTGTGAGAAGCAGAGGAAACTAATTGGATACATGGCAGGTCATCTGTGGGGGTGGCTTCAAGCCACCATTTGCAGTGAGTTGTGTGATGGCTGCTTGGGCGGCTGGGAGTTCAAGCAGGACACAGATGGAAGACCATGAAAGCCAACTTCATCTGTCTGCACCCATCCTGCTGGTTTTATCCACCTGAACTCCAGAGACATCCTAATGTTGGTGTAACTTGATTCCCCAAGTTAACTGTTCTTATTAGGTTTCAGGCTGTCCTTGCCTCCTCAGTCCTTTTTGTTTACTGGTACAGGGGACCTGAAAACCCCTGTTCGTAATGGTCCACAACACTGAGGGTGCACCATCTGAGCCCTTCTCGAGACACTCATTTTAGCAGCAACAATGCAAGGGCAGGCAGTTCATTGGGGCAAGGAAGGTAATTGGAGGAACAGGGAAGTGTGACAGGAAAGGAAGCAGCTGACTCTATGTTATCAAACCAGTTCTCACTGTGGGTTCCTGGGGCTTAATCCTGCTAAGGAGCCCTAGAAGCCAGTGTAAGATGTGCACTCAGTTTTCCTATCTAAGCAGTAGGTGAAGGAACTGGGTTATTTATACACCAGGTCCTGTCAGTCATTGGTCAACCAATGCTACTTCGAGAGTGGAGGTATTAATTCCTTGACCCTTTGGCCTACCAAGCAGATGGCAAAGTGGGCTACAGCAGCAGGAAATAGCCCACAGACAGAGAAAAACATCTGGAAATTCAGCCAATGTGCATACAGTGGTAAGGGCAAGGAATCGTAGACTAAGCCCCAGTAACATCTGCTCTAACGGCTTCCCTATGCTCTTTGTGCTTCTTTACTTGATGAATGCTGAACCCCGTCTTTATATCAGTGGTACTGTCTGTTAAATTTATTGACTATTCACTCAGTCATTAATTTTTTTGTACTCTTGCCTTCCATGACCCTCCTGTTTCGTAATTCTCTTTGTGGACTTTCCTTCTGTTCTTATTGTGAATCCTTCCTTTCCTGCTAATTGATAAACCTTGGAATCTGTGGGGGTTCCATTCTGAGCCTGCTGCTTGGGAGATTTTTCCTTCTTTCATGACTAGCACACTGATGACTTTCAAACCATACTCCAGCCCTAACATTAAACTCACATTTGGGCTGTTTGTCCAGCAGATCACTCTGGATGTTGCCAAACCCAGCTGTTTCCACCTGACTGCATTCCCATGAAGATGTGCTCATTCTCTCATTTCATCTCATTTCACCCATGTTGAAAACCTAACCACCATCTTAACTTTCAAACATCCCCAACAAATGACGGCTAATTTTACTTCTAGAATTTGTTTTTAAACTATAACTTAGAGTATGCTAAGAGTTGATGAGAAGGTGTATGGACATGAGGGTGAGACTGAAAATAAAAGAGGGGGAATGGAGATTGGTGATAGAGTAAAGCTCCTTCACAGTATGTGTGGAGACTGGCCTTTGATGGGAGCAGGAAAAACCATTCAGTTTTGCAAAGGAGAGAGAGACACATTAATGGTCATTATGATGAAGGCAAGTTCTACCCAAGGATGAAAGAGCTGGGGGGAGTTGAGAAAGTTAGGGTAGGTTTTGAATACCAGAGACCAGGCTGGGAAAAGTATGGGGGATAACTGAGCTCTGATCCTTGGAGCTGCATCTGAATCTTTTGTTCTTATGGAATTTATTCTCCAGAGAGGGAAACAAATTATCATCTCCACAATTGACAGTGGAATCATTCAACTCCACATCAAGTCTGCTTTTCTTACAGCTTGCTTTGTCTGATGTTCCCACAAGTGTTCTTAAACTTCACTGGGTGTCATTAGTGCTCTGACCCTTGTTTTTCATTCTCCATTCATTAGACTCCCTTTTTCCCTCTGGCATTTTGATTTTTATATTTATTATATTGTATAGTACTGTATTGTATTAGAGATTAGCCAATTTATTTAAACTAAAAAAAAACCCAGCACTCATTTCTCCTGCCCCCTACTCCCAACCCTCCACTTTTGGCAACCATCAATCCATTCTCTTTATTTCCCTTAGTGTAATGCCCTTGAGGCATATCCATGTTATTGCAAATGGCAGGATCTCATTCTTCTTTATGACTGAATAATATTCCACTGTGTATATAAGCCACAGGTTCTTTATCCATTCATCCATTCATCCATTGATGGATACTTAGTTTGTTTCCATATCTTTGCTATTTTAAATAATTCTGCAATGAACATGGAGGTGCCTATGTCTCTTTGAGTTAGTGCTTTCATTTTCTTTGGGTAAATACCCAGAAATGAAATTGCTGGATCATATAGCTGTTTTATTTTATATTTTTTTGAGAAAACTCCATGCTGTTTTCCATAGTGGTTGCACCAATTTACATTCCCACCAACAGTGCACAAGGGTTGCCTGTTCTCCACATCTTTACCAACACTTGTTACTTCCAGTCTTTTTGGTATTAGCCATTCTTACAGGTGTTGGTGGTATCTCATGTGTTTTTGATTTGCATTTTTCTGTTGATTAGTGATGTTAAAAATCTTTTCATGTATCTGTTGGCCATCTGTATGTCTTCTCTAAAAAAAAAGTCTATTCAAACTCCTTTCTTCACTTTTCTCCCTCTCTAAATTAGAAGCCATGGCTCAACATTTTAATCTTTTTCAAAAACACCCTGAAGTCCACTACCCTCTGAATATCTGTCTCATGTCTTTGGGAAAACTCTAACTTTGGGTGTATCCAGCCATCTGTCTTCACCATGTCTGTTTCCAGGCAGCTGTGTCTGATTGGAAAATAACACACATCAGGACAGTAGTAGTTGGGTATAAACAGGATTATGCCCATCATATCACCTAGCACTATTAACTTTTGGGCAGTCATAGTTCAGTTATGTGCATTCAGATAAAAGAGAAAGGCATGGACCCCAAAAGTGTCATATATATGTATGCAATACACCCACCCACCCCCACACATAACCTACATATATCAGGTTTATTGAGATATAATTTGCATGCAGTAGCATTTGACTTTTTTGGCAAACAGTTCTAGACACACAATCATGTAACCACCATCACAGTTGAGACATCAGGTATTTTCATCCCCTCATCCCCCCACCAAATTTCCCTCATATTTCCTCTTTGCAGTCAATCGCCGAACACCTGACAACCAATAATCTTTTCTGTCCCTAGAGTTCTGTCTTATAAGTCTAAAATGTCATATAAATGGAATTGTACAGTATGTACCCTCTTGAGTCTGTCTTCTTTAACTTAGCATAATGCATCTGAGATTGAACCATGTTGCATGAATCAGCAGTTTTTTCATTTTTATTGCTGAGTAATATTCCATTATATGCACGTACCTATCATAGTTTTCCATTAACCAGTTGAAGGGTATTTAGATTGTTTCCAGTTTTGGGTGATTATGAATAAACCTGCTGTAAACATTCATGTGAGTGTAAGTTTTCTTTTCTCTTGAGTAAATAACTAGAACTGGTATTGCTGGGTGATGTGGTAGATATATGTTTAAATGTGTAAGAAACTGCTAAATTGTTTTAGACAGTGGTTATATTATTTTGTATTCCCACTAGCAATGTGGGATGTTCTGCATTTTGTCAGCTTTTAAATTTTTACCCATTCCAATAAATGTATAGTGCTATCTCATTGTAGTTTTAATTTTGTATTTTCTTAATGACTAGTGACATTGAGCATCTTTAAATGATATTTATATATCATCCACCCAAGATGGGTGATATTTACTAGTCAAGTGTGTGTTCAATCTTTTTGCCCATTTTAGGGGTACCTGGGTGGCTCAGTCATTAAGTGTCTGCCTTCAGCTCAGGTCATGGTCCCAGGGTCCTGGGATCAAGCCCCACATCTCTCTGCTCATTGGGAAACCTGCTTCTCCTTCTCCCACTCCCCCTGCTGGTGTTCCCTCTCTTGCTGTGTCTCTCTCTGTCAAATAAATAAATAAAATCTTTAAACAAAAGATCTTTTGCCCATTTCAGAAAGTTGGTTGCTATTTTTCTTGTTATTGTGCTTTTGGAGTTTAAAAATATATCTGGATATATACTAAATATATAATCAAATATAAGAAATTTAATATATTTATTAAATATATGTTTTACAAATATTTTCTCCCAGTCTATGGCTAGCTTGACTTGTTTTCTCATTTTCTTAATGTCTTTTGAAGAACCAAAATTTTAAATTTTGATGAACCCCAATTTATCAATTTTTTTCCTTTTATAGATAATGTTTTTTGTATTATATGTAAGAATTCTTTGCCTAACCCAAGGTCCCAAAGATTTTTTCCTATGTTTTCTTCTAGAAATCTAAAACTTTAGGTTTACATCTACATTATTGTCCATTTTGAGTTAATATTTTATAAATAGTGTGAAGTATGGATTGAGGTTTAATTTTTTTTTTTTGCATATGGACATTCAGTTGTTCCAACACCATTTATTGAGAAGATTCTCCACTGAATTACTTTTGCAATTTTGTCAAAAATTTGTTGACTAAATGTATGAGTTTATTCCTGGACTTTCTATTCTGTTTGTTAATTTACGTATCCTTCTTTTACCAACTTTATTACTATAGCCTTACAGTAAGTATTGAAATCAGTTTAGTGTGAATTCTCCGATACTGTTCTTTATTTTTGAAATTTGTTGTGATTATTCTAGTTCCTCTACTTTCCCATACAAAATTTAGGGTCATTGTGTGAATTTATACAATATATTCTGGTAGAATTGAATGGGGCTGTGTTGAGTTTATAAATCAACTTGGTGAAAACTGTAACAATATTGAATCTGTGGACATGGTATATCTGCCCATTCATTTAGACCTTTTTTGTTTTGCATTTTCAGCATAAAGATATTATACATATTTTGTTTGCTTTATAATGAAGCACTTCATGCATTATATACATAAAAATATATACCATATATAAAATATAATTGATATATAAATACATATCAATGTATATAAAATATATAAAATATAATTGTTGATATATAAAATTTATTTAACAATATATAACAATTGATTTTTGTATATTGATCATGTATCTTGTGATCTTGCTAAACTGAGTCTAGTTTTTTTTCTGGGGCAGATTCTGGGATTTTCTACATTGACAATCATGTCTGTGAATTTTTTTGGTGCTTTTTTTTTCCTTTTCAATATGTATGTTTAATTTTTGTATGGTTTAAACTACTATTTCACTTGAATATTTTCTTCTTAGAGAAATATTTTAACAAGATTAAGTCCTTGCAAAATTGGCTTTCTGGAACATTAAAGGAGGCTAGAACCCAAATTAGATGCTCTGTTATGTGGAGAGTCTTTATAATTTTCATCCCTCAAAGGTGTGCTACAATAAGATGACTCGGACATTTTATATAAGATTTGACTTTTGTGTAATAATGACCTGTTATTTTCCTGTTTTGACTTGGCCAATGAGGATGATGTACAGAGTATTTCATGTAGGCATAGAACTCCTCCTCTCCTGTGTCTGCAGACTCATCATATTGTCATTTCTAAGGAGTCTTGGTATAGCCTTTTGACTTAAGGGTCTTCACACTTCTTGCTATCAGATGGCCACCTCTCCCCTGAGCTTGTCTTTTACTTCCATTACTACATTTCAGACACAATAGTGTGCATCTCTCTTGCCAGAATCTGCATGAATCAGGACCTGGGACTCTTAACACTTATATCTCCAGGACCTGATTCAGGGGTTGGCTGATGTTACTCAGTGAATAAGACCTGAAAATACAACCTAGCTGTCATTCTGGCACAGTGGGAAGGGCAAAGACTCTGACATCAGGTTTGAATCCAAGCTCTGCTGTCTGTCAAAGTTATTCTTTGAAAGCTATATTTTTCCCATTTGTAAAATGAGGATTTTACCTTCCTCATCAGTTATTAGTGTAAAGTGCATTGTTCATCATCTTATACTGTTAGGTAAGCGGATGTTATTAGAACTGTTATTTAATAGATACATTGTATCATTTAATCCTGGCCATTAGCAGATCCTCCCCAACTCAGTTGCTTCCCCTTGTTGAATTGGAGTTCATGGGCTATTGCTGCACAATTTGGCTACCCCTAGTGGTACCCATGTAGCTGCCATTGCCATTGGAGGGCTAATTAGATAATAAGGTACTCACACCATCTAAGATGCCACAGTGGTTGATTGCAGTGCTACCTGCACAGGGTGATGCCTGGGATTTGTGGTCTTCCATGTCCGTGCCAGCGCCCAGGGTTTCATATCTAGCATGATTTATGGGATATTCTATTATGAACAGGCTGTCATGCCTCGAGTTCGTGGAAGCAATCCAGAAAATGTAAAGAGATTTTCTTCTCAAACTTCCAGGGATGTGTTCCAACCTTCTCCAGCTATACTTTATTCTACAGGTTAAAATAAAGTATTTATTCTTTTATTTTTCTTGGTATTCAGCCCTGTTAGCTTGATATATAATTTTGGGTTTTGGAAAATGGTATTGCTAACACCTGACTATGAATCTTATTTCTAATTTTAAACACCCCCTCAGTTATAGGAAAAACTGTGTTTCTCATTTTTCAGTGTTAAAAGTATGGCACATTTCTTTTTTTATTAAATTAAATTTTATTTTATTTTTTTCAGTATTCCAAGATTCATTGTTTATGCACCACACCCAGGGCTCCATGCAATATGTGCCCTCCTTAATAACCACCACCAGGTTCACCCATTCCCCCACATCCCTCCCCTCCAAAACTCTCAATTTGTTTCTCAGAGTCCAGTCTCTCACCCTTCGTCTTTCCCTCCAATTTACCCCAATTCTCTTTTCCTTTCCTTCTTCTAATGTCCTCTGTGTTATTCTTTATGCTCCACAAGTAAGTCAAACCATATGATAATTGACTTTCTCTGCCTGACTTATTTCACTCAGCATAATCTCCTCCAGTCCCATCCATGTTGATACAAAAGTTGGGTTTTCCTAATGTGTGTATCTTGGTGGGTTTTTTTTCTTGTTTGATTTTTAAATTAAGAACTTTGATGATGTTCTGAAACTATTTGACATGGCCTCATTTCCAAGGTAGTCACATAGAATTCTGCTGTCTAAATAAATTGTGGTTAATAAAATGTAATCCCTCAGTTGGAGAACAAGCTTGCAAGCAACTGTTTGGAGACACATATTTATAATGTTTTTACTGTGTGTTGTTTATCTCCTGAACACAATCTGTTCCCCATCAAAATAACAACATGTTCATATGGCCACAATTTTATAATGTGAGTTTAAATACCTTAATGTATATAAGTGTACATCATGTCTTTATGCCTATTGTCAGTAAAACTAGTTTTTTTTAAGGAGTGGGGTGGTATTTTTTATTTCCTTTGTGTTTTTCTGTGTCTTAACATTATCTTCAATGATTAAGCAAAAAAGCAATAATTATTATACAAAAAATAGAACTTCAAAAGAATAATTTTTCCTAGGCTTAGGCCAGGAAAAAATTAACATATTATTTTGGCCAGATACTACCAGATTTGTGAAGTTAAGAAAAGAAATTCTAAGGCTAGATTTCCCAGAGAAATAATAACGCTAAGTGTATCTACAAATTCACAATTATGTTAACTGAGCACAGAGAGAATGTTCATCACTTAGAAACACTATGGATTTTTGTTTCTCTTTGTAAACCAGATTGAAAAGGAGGAGCAAGCCAACCCCACGGAAAAAGTGAGGGAGGAGTTTCAAGTGAATGGACCACCTCAGGACCTGGACTCACTGCTTCTTGACTCACGTGCTCTTGGGCAAGTCACCTAGCTTCAAATATGGTGCAGGGACAGACACCTGCTGATGTGGCAACTACCAATGCCCACAGTCCCCTTGGTGCAGGGGCTGCCGGGCAGCCTGCCTGGAGGTGAGAGGGGGCATCTCTATGTGTCATACTCCAGTTGGTGGGTCCCAGCAGTACCCCCTTGGGCTCCAGATCTCAGTACATGGCTCTTTTGGTCTCAGCTACAGTCCTTTCTTTCCCAGAACATGCACAGACCTCCAGAGTCTTTGGAACAGGATAGTCAGGTGCCAGCCCTTTTGTTGTCCTCCAATATCTTTTCCCCTCTATCTTTGGCATCCTGTTGCCTAGCTTGACATTTGATTCTTGATCTTCTTTGTAACGAATCCTCTGTCTGGTTGCTCTCTTTCCCTGTGCCATTTGGTTTTCATTTGACCTCTTTAACCAGTTCCCCTGTACTAGCACACAGTCAGAGGTACAGTTGGCTCTGGGGAAGATTCAAGTTCTTTTGAGTAAGATATTAGGTTAGCAGATGAACCAGACATGCAAGGAAATTCCCAAGGAGGGTAGGAGTTGTCTAAATCCACATGTTAAATTCAGCCAATGTGCTCTGTCAGAGATGAGAGTAAAGTCATGAAGAAGTAACTCCCTCCCACTCCCCAGGCCCCTGTCACCAACCTCACACAGGGATTTGTGAATGTCTTCTTCTGGTCTCTGCCTGGGTGAGAGAAAATATCCCAAGACACTGTTTTTGAGCCTTATCTAACCCATATGGACACATCTAACTCTAGAATTAATTGCTTCAACTTAGGCAAGTTGTCTGGGCTGACTCAATGCCTTACTCCCTGCCCCTTTCTTGAAGGCTCCTGAAGACGACGATGCTGAGAGGGGCCATCTGTGAGGCAGGGATTCTGTTCTCCCATGCTCCCACCTCAGGACACAGACAGGTGGCCCCAGGGCCCTTCATAGGACCAGAAGGGGTACTCAAATAGTTGCTATTTCCAGACCATAGTGCCTCAAATTCCTGGGGAGATCTGAGTGCTGGTCCCTCTCTATTGTCCCTGGTTGGTGCCTCCACATACTATAGTGGGATCAGGTAAAATAGGACAGGAGCTTGACCCTGGGGAAAGGAGAATTAAGTGGGGGGATGGGGGTGAGGAATTGGCAAGTTAGGGTAGATAAGTAGTCCAAGATTTCCCTCCTTTGTAGGAGGTTAACCTTTGATGTGTGCAGGTCTGAACCCAATTATAATGGAATAAGGTTGGGAGTTGACTTCATCTCTGATTTTCTCCCAATATCCATAGCCCCAGACTCTTGGGAAGAACTTTAACCTTAAGTATGGACTCTCAGTCAGGGGCATAGGAAATAACCCCTGACTCTGCCCTTGTTAGACCACATCCCTACACACACAATTTTGGTGGGTGTTGCCCCTGGGTTAATTGGAGGACTCTCAGATCATCTTGCCCTCCTGTTGACTGGTGTGTGTCTTTGTGTATATGTTGGGGAACTTGGCTTTGGGGAAATAGTTTTGGGCTCTCATTTTCTCTCTCAGGCACAAATCCTGGAGAGCCCCTCCAAGTCTCATGCAATTCCATTTCCCCCAAGAGGACCCTGACCACTGAAACTGATTACATGAGAAGATCACACACTAAGAGCCTCCCTTTGGGGGCCTGACCCTGACTTAGGGTTCTACTGTTTGCCCAGCAGCAGCCTTGCAGGAACCTGTCTTGGACCACTTTCCTTACTCATCTCAGAGTTGGGGGATGGAAGGAGAGGGGTTGGGGTGGGCCTATCTCTCTTGAGACTCTAGTGGGGTCCACTCCAGAAGCTATCTCAGCTTCTTGTAATCCCAAGCTTGGCTGATTTGTTTGTTGGCTTTAAAGTTGGGACCAAAGGGTGAGAAATATAGACAGTTGATCCAAGTCCCACTCCTCCTCAACCCTCCAACACTTTTCTATTTAGGAGAACAGAGGAGGGGAGCTGGAGATATGCTCCAGCCCTAAGGTTATAAGACTTATTGCCCTTCCAGGTTTCATCTACCCCATTTGCAGCTCAGAAGCCCTTTCCCTACCCAGCAAGATGACAGTTTCCTGTCTTCTTTCTTTTGTCTACTTTTGTATGTATAAACAATATGTTGTCATAGCTACTCAGTGCTTATGCTCATTCGGGGCTCTGTTCTTGCTATTCACTCTGCCTGTGATGTTCTGGTCCAAGATCTTTGCACTGGTGACTTCAGCTCAAATATCATCTCAGAGATGTTTCCCTTGGAAACTGACTGAGGTTTCCATAGTTACTCTCTATTCCACCACTTTAGATTTTTAGTTGTATTTGTCTTCACAGCACTTATCACTCTTGGGAATTATCTTGTTCATTTGTTTACTTGTTTATTGCTTGGCTCTCCTTCTGCTCTTAATGTAACCTCGATGATCACCAACACCTGTTTCCTGCTACATCTTCAGTTCCCAGCACTAGGAAGAACTCAATAAATACTTATTGACTGAATAGATGTTTGCTTGTTGTTTTTTAAATAGGAATAATTTTTCTGAAAGTTTAGGTACTTTTGAGAAGTATCTCAAAATTTATTGCTAAATTGTATTTAGCAATAAGGAAATATTGGTGACATTTTAGGGCACTCTTGGAGTAAATAGGAGGTGAGGAACAGGAATTTGACCATGAAGGGAAGCAGAAGATAGTCCAGTAGTTGGGGCATTCCGTGAATTCAGGAGATGCTTGAGTGTGGTGAAAGCTGCTGGAAAGGAAGCAGCAGAGTAGGTATGCAAAGGAGAAAGAGATATTGAGGGAGTCAAGAATGGAGGAAGTGGGGCACAAGTGAGGAGATCAGGCACAGAGTATGGGTTCCTTTTCAGTGGAAAAGGGAGAAAGAGGAAGGGAGGATATAGATTTTGGTGGGTTTGCAGTGTTAGTGGCAGGAGCTTGAGGCAGTTCCTGCCTGTGGCTTTGATTTCCTCTTGATGTCAGTGGTGAAGTGAGCTATTCATGATGGGGTAGTAGGTGGTGTTGAGGGTCAGAGATACAAGGACAGTGAACAGGATTATGAAGAGATCACTTCATTTCAGATCTTTGAAATCTTAAAAAAAAAAACTTTCTATGGAGGAATTTAATTAATTAACTAACAATTCAAGGCAACATTTTGCCACTAAGTGGTTGCTTACAATTTCATATTTAGATATAAATCCCAGATCTAAACTTAAGTCCCATATGGTCTCAGATGGAAGAGGAAAGAATTAGAGAAAAAAGGCAGAATCTAAACTTCTCAAGGAATAAAAAATCATAAAGAAGCTTTCACTATGAGAAGCCATAAAAATTCTGATGAATCACAGCAAGATGGGACTGTGCTCTGAGAGAGTAGTTTGTTGAATGTCCATCTGGACTCTCTTCCAACACCAGAGAGATGTGGAAACTCAGGCCTAAAGGGTCGTAGGAAGGTTTCTGGACTGACTCCATAGCACATGTCTCAATCCCACTAATAACACCATTAATGGGTACTTATTATCTCTGCTAAACAAAATGAAGTATTCTTAATGGACAAAGATGATTCTATTAACACAACAATAGAGTGTATAGTTGCAAGTTGGAGAGATTTTGCATACTCACTCTTGTTTGTAACATAAATACACACTTGTAGGAGGGTTGGTTAAGTATAGTGATAAAAATAACTTCTTTCTGTTAAATATCAAGTATACATCCATCCTATACTACATGGTATTTTGGGTTTGTAAATGGGAGAGGTTGGCCATGGCTGCCATAACCACTGAAACCATGATCTTGGCCTTTTTGTTATCATGTTGCAACCTAGAAGTTTCCAAACTGAGATTGGTGGAGACCTGGGACACTTGGGGTACAATATTATAAGATAAGAGGGAGATGGAGCCAACGGGGCTCCAAGCTGCAGCTCCACATCAATTAAGGCAGCTTCCAGGGTCTATGCTGACTTCTAATTTTATGTAGATGAGGGGTTCCACTGAAGTCAAATGGTCTGACAATCTCCGCTGTCACAACTGAGAGCAAATACTGGTACAATACTTATGCTAGTGATTTTCTAAATGATTCATCGAATCAAAGAGTGTACTATTTGGCCTTGCATCATAGCTTTGGGTTCAGTTAACTGGTGTTTCAGTGACAGATGATTTCCTCTTAGGCAACAACTCACCCACCGCCAAGTTGAGTGTTTTGACTTAGGATCAACTGACTAGGTTTATCCAAAGTATGGATGAGCAAAAGTACATAGATCAGCAAACAGTCCTGATAATTATACCTATACTTTGTTTTTAAGCAAATTTACGTTGGAATATTATATTCAACATGGTACTAAAAATCCATTTCTGTAGTATAAGCTACATTAACTGAACTACATCAATAACACATAAAATAGGTTTGCAGGGAGTGGAGAAAATGAGAGGTTAGAGTGTAAGTGGTAGTCTTCATACAAATCAAATATCTATCAGATTTGAGTCATTTGGTTAAAAAGATCTCAGAACAATAAAACTCAGTTCTAAAATAGTGTTAAATTTAAGTACCAAAGAACTGCAAATATTACTTGGACTTTGAAGCACATGCACTGTGCCAAGAGTCCATTCATAACTGAGGCTGGAAGCCCTTGGAGCCCAACGGTGGTATCTGGAGAGAATGGTGCACTCCTCTCTAGAGCCCAAAGGCTATAAATACATTGTAGAGAGAGAGGTAGATAATATCAAGTAATGATGCCTAGAAAGAAGGTACTTTTACAGCAAGAGGGTCTAGGTTTCCAAGATTTCCTTTAGTTAGGAGATGGAAGCTCACCCAGAGGAAAAGTTGGGACTGTCTGGGTCCATATTTGAGAAGATGATGATGATGGCTATTGGAAGTCTTCATCTATTAGGTTAGTGACACATATTCCTGATAAAGATAAGAAGTTATTTGCATCAGCATTAGCCAAAACCAGCCCTCACTGCAGAAAGTAAGAGATTTTGGGCCCAGTCTTTGTTAATGAAGCCATACTTGGACAATATTAGAGGTATATATATTATCAGAAACTGGAAATGATCCCTTGGCCCAGGTGATGGTTCATGCACAGCCCCCTTTGAACTCTAAGCAAATCTGTTTGATTAACGCTGAAATAGAGATAT